TAACAATAACAATAACAATAACAATAACAATAACAATAACAATAACAATAACAATAACAATAACAATAACAATAACAATAACAATAACAATAACAATAAACAATAACAATAATAATAATAATAATAATAATAATAATAATAATAATAATAACTCACAAAAAGAAAAGCCTGAAGCCCTGGATGCAAGTGTTTAACCATTCTATAATCTCAATTAATTGCTCAACACTGCCCAGAATCTTTGCTTTGTTTTCGGGGCCAAACAGTTGGGGTTACATCAAATTGAAATAGAAGGAGACTCTAAATTGTTAATTGATTGGTTGCAAGCAGGTAGTTTGGGAACCTGGATTTATAGACAACCTATGAGGGAAATATTCAACATAACAAGGGAGATTGGTGCTTGCTTCAAGTGGACAAGAAGATCAGCTAATGGACTAGCTGATACCTTAGCCAAACAAGGGACTGTTAGCGAGAGTTTGTTCTGGGCAGTGCTGTGATAAAGATTACCTTGGACTCAACACCCTATTGTAGGGGTTGACAGTTGTATCGTAATATTTTGTTAATGAAGTAAGTTACTGTTTCCAATGAAAAAATAATTGCTCAATGGAAATTTGTGTCTGAATTCCCAAGATACAGGGATGGAACAAAAACAAAAGCAGAGAAATAGACTGACCTTCTATCACTGAGCAGATCAAAGAGCTTTCCACCATATATCTCAAAATAGCTAAGCCACAACCTAAATCTCTGATTACGGTAGGTGGGCTGATTTAATAGTCTGACAAGGTCCTCTGCTGCTCTAAGTGGTAGTGGTTGCATTGTGAATGTCTTACCACTCCCTGAAAATAATTATGAAGTACACAGTTTTGATCATTGCTACCTTGCCAAAGCTTCAAAAACACTTACTATAATTAATTATTTTTCTTTTTGTCATTCTTTTATTATTATTATTATTATTATTATTATTTTTTCTTTGGTTGGGAGGTATGCTCAAAAAACAAATTTCAGAAAAATCAAACTAAGTATTGAGTGAGTTGCATGGGGGAAAAGCAGTACAATGCATCAGAAATTTGTAACTTCTACAGTCCTACCTGCAATTGTTGGTCACAAGTGAACTTGTTTATTAGTTTGTTCATTTCTTCATTTAAAATTAAGCGATGATGATAAGAGAAATTTGTACTTCTAACAAATAGACTTGTTTTCTAACAAATAAATAAGACTAACTGATAGAAAAATGAATATAATAAGGCAATCATTTTTACTTCTGAGAAGGAAAAGGAAAAAATAGAATCTTGGATATTAGTGATGTTTAACATTTTTAGCTTTGAGAAAAATATGGTTATTGCAGAAAAAAAAAATCAGTGGAACAATCAATTGCTTTAGCGATAAAATAGCCAGTGGCCTTCATGGTATGCAATCTGAGGAAGGGAACAGCAAGATCTCTACGCACCTGTCTGGCCATATGCAAAGCATGTAGCTTTTGTTCGCTGGAAAATGGTAGGAATTATTGGCTGTACTGTGACACGATATACCTGTTACAATGAGCAGGTTAGAGAAAATAAAATAAAATAAAAAATCTTCTAATACAAATGAAAGCATGGGTGAGAAGGTTAGAGACAAAAAAATCTACCAAACAGAACAAAGATTGAGAGAGGGCCTATGGTTAAATAAGGCTGGTATTAATAGCTTCAAGGACGAAGCAAAAAATGGATATTGTAGGTAAGTCTTGAGGAAGATAAAATGAAAAAGCAACCAAGAAAAATGTAACGTCCAAATTACATGAAAAAGAGCAGCATAGGAAATTAGAATCTCTGACAATATTAGTATTACCTCATCATTGGTGACATGTTCATCTAGAACAGCATCAAAACAAAATTCATGCTTCTCCACGTATGCGGTCAAATCCACCTGTCAGCAGAAATTTAATTCAACTCCAAGTCAACATAAATCCGACATCATAGCATGCATTAGGAAGACAAGTCCGGCTGATCAAGTAAGCTATTCTGATGCAGCAGACAAGTATCCAAACCTTTAACTTTGGCTCATGGACAGTTAAGTATGCATTATCATATACTGTTACAATATCATCCTCTTTCCGGGACAGTTCCTTCTTATTTAAAGGCCTTTTACGCACCTGAGACAGAACATTAAAACATTAGAGAATCTCATATTACAAATATGTTAAGAATTCAGTTTCATATTTCTTTGATTGTGATTCATATAGTAATTCAATCTTGTAACAGAGATGCAGACCAGGAAGAAGAGAGAGATGAGGGAGAGAAGAGAAAGAGAGATTTGGGCTAAGAGAAACCAGCCGAACCTCTCTTAGAAGAGAACATTAGAGAATAAGTGCAAGTACAATAATGCCCCTGTTTTCTTTTGGTTTACTAGATTACCCTGCCTCCCAAGACATAACATAAAACAGCTCTTGAAGAGTATTCAGTCTTGTGGATCATAAAAAATAATTCAATCTTGAAACTCTAATAGACATAACGGATAGACTAAAAGCAAGATCAGATTACATTTCATATTCTTTCTATCAAAAAAAAAAGTTACTAGTATGTTTTATCAGTAAAAAATCAATGCAACTTATTTTTTCTATCAGCAAGAAAACAAAAGGTTGCAAGACTAGTCACTTGACTACCCCCCCCCCCCCAACACTAGTGGGGTGGGACAGCTTCCAAGCACAAATGATCCCCATTAACTCCTCTAGCTGGCATCTCTGCTATGGAGTTCACACTTCACAGACCTTTGGACCCATCTAAATGAGGTGTCCATGCTGATTGCCAAGGATTGTTGTTGACAGAGCCTCAACCTTAATGGATTTTTTTTTTTTTTGATCAGCAACTAAGAAAATGAATTCATTAAGCAAATAAAGAAGCACAACAAGACATTGTGAAGGATATAAATAGACACCCTGTTTAGCTAGACCGTCCGCCAAACAGTTGGCAGATCTTCTAACCCATTGGACTTGAATAATCATGTTCCAAGAAAGCCATTTGAACCACTTAAGGTTCCTTAGATGCCAAGAGATTCCTACCCCTTTCCTTAACCAGTCCACTACTAATTTGGAATCACCTTCAATGATTAGCCTTTGAAAACCCAACTCCTTCTCCTTGCTCAACTGGACTTGAGAAGAAGGCACAAATATTGCCCTCCTCATCCTTGATCATCCCACCAATTCCAGAGGGACCTGGATTCCCACACAACTCCCATAAAAATTTAGTTTCAACCAGCCACAAGGCAGGGGTGACTAGTCCACTGCTGCAATCTGTCTTCTAGAAGATGAGGCAGCTATAACCCCCCAAGCTCGGAAAAAGAAAACATCTACTTTAAAGTCTGAGAAAAGAACCAAGGTCTTGGCCCACTGTGTCACTCTTAGGGTTATGACCTCAATCAATGCGTCCTTATTCCTTTCCTTTCCCTAAATATTCAAGTGTTTTCCTCCCAAACTGTCCAGATCACTCCCTTGTACATTTCCACATCAATCTCCCCCTCCCAGTAGAACAGCTACAAACAGAAAGGCTAAACAACTCTCCCAAATTAACAGGAGGAAGCCAACTGCAACTAAAAAGCAAAGCGGACCAGTCCCAGATAAACAAAGGGACAGGAGATAAGGAGATGAACTGCAGTCTCACCGTTAAGCTTGCATAAGCAGCACCAATTGGGGGACAAGCAAAGTTTGGCATCTTCTTTTGAAGTTTATCACAAGTATTAATGCAACCGTGGTACACTTCCCAACAAAGCAATGACTCTAGGAGGGATGTGGGAACACCAAATTTCCTTAGCAGTGAAAGTATGAGAAAGGGAAGGTAAGGATGTTACAAGGGAGCTAAAACAAAGACTTACAAGTGAAGGTCCTGACCGAATTGAGGGTTCACATCCTACTATCCACACCCCCTCCCCAAGAACTACAGGATTTAGCAAGGTAAGCAAAGCAGACACAAGAGGAATTTCAGACTCTAAGATTCCTTGTGAGTTCCAAATTCCAGTTTAAACCAAAAGGAGGAGGGGAACAAACGAACTCAGACACAAGTCTACCTTTGAGATTGGAAATGGGACTCCCCAATCCATATATCTTCCCAAAACCAAATATTCTGATCTGAAACCAAGTCATACCTGATGTGTCTAAGGAAGATAGGAAGACAGTCGTGGATGACTTTCCGAGGGTAGCCAAAATAGCCCAGTGAAGTCAACCAGCATCCCATCCATTACTTGACAACCCATGAATACTTGCTACCACTTTGTGCCAAAGCCTTTCACTTTCCAATGGGAATCTCCATAGTCATTTGCTCAACAAAGCCCAATTTTTCACTCTAATATTCTAAATTCCAAAGTCCAAACCCCCCTTTTGCCTTAAGCTTCATCACTTTCTCCCAACTCAGCAAATGATCTTTCTTCCCTTCCTTGGGTTCCCACAAAAAATCTCTCATGATCTTTTCCAATTTTCTCACAACAACTTAGGGCATTTTAAAAACCAACATGTAGTAGACAGGAAGATTAGCTAGGGTTGTCACCAAGGGATAACCCTATATACTTGATCAGCCAGTTTCCTTTCTCAAACCCCAAATAGCCTGCCAAATCCCCCAAAACATCTTCCTATACATTAATGCCAACCAATAAACTTTTACCCCAATTAATCTTCAAATTGGAGACCCTCTCAAAGAGATTCACTACCAACTTTAGATTCTCCACCCCCCCTATAATCCCCATAACAAAAAACTAAGATATCATCTGCAAATTGTAGATTAGTTACCTAGATTTCATCCCTCCCAACCGACCAACCATTAATCAACCGTAGACCATTGGTGCTCTAATGATCAACTTGGAGACCCTCTCAAAGAGATTCACTACCAACTTCAAATTCTCCACCCCCTCTCTACAATCCCCATCGCAAAAAACTAAGATATCATCTGCAAATTGTAGATGAGTTACCTAGATTCCATCCCTCCCAACTGACCAACCATTAATCAACCACAAACCATTGGCTCTAATGATCAACTTGCTAAGAACCTCGGCTATCAAAGTGGATAGGAAGGGTAAAAGTGGATCACCTTGTCTTAGACCACAAAACCCTTCAAAAAAATCAACCACCGAACCATTGACAAGAATTGAGTAGTGGATAGATTGTAAGCAACCTCTAATCCATTTACACCATAGCTCCCCAAAGCCACAACTTCTCATGATATTAATTAAGAACTCCCAATCCACAAGATCATAGGCTTTCTCCACATCCAATTTAACCACTACCCCTTTCTTCCTTAATCTCTTCTAGGCCTCAAGACACTCATCAGTAATTAATATTTGACCCACAATTTGCCTATCCTGAGCAAAAGCCCTTTGAAACTAATAGATAAGGGAGGGAATGACCTTCTTCACTCTAAGAGACAAGACCTTGGCAATTATCTTGTAAATTCTCGTAACTAAACTGACAGGTCGGAAATCCTTAGGATTAGCAGCACCAATTTTCTTATGAACCAAAGCTATGAAAGTTGAGTTCATTCCTAGACTGACAATACCCCTTATATGAAATTCTCTGAACACTCTAACCAAATCAGCTTTGATGATCTCCCAGAAATCCTGATAAAAGGCCATTGTGAAACCATCAGGGCCTAACGCTTTCAACCTTAATGGAATTCCCATCAAACAAGATAATGCAGTTGAAATAGAAGGGAAAGAAAGACTCATTTCACCACTAATCTAAGGAGATTATATTGAGGTTGTAACTTCGTGTTGGATTAAAAACAAACTGTATCAGGTATGAATCTTTTACTAGAAATAATTTTAAATTCTAGAAGCATGAATAGGTAGGGCAATCCTCTTTGAAAGACCAGTTTCCTTCTCTGTATGCTCTGTCCAATTTTAGAAAAGAGATTGTCTCAAAGTTTGTGTCCCCCTCTGCCTCCAGTAACAGTTTTAACATATTAGGGACTAGCAAGGAGAGTTGGGGATTCAGAGTTACCCTATGCCTTGAGCCTATTAAAATTCTTGATGGGGTTTACTTGGATCCCAATAAGCCTAATAGTCAGATTTGGACTCCTCTCTTTGGTTCTTTCACTTGTGCCTTCTTCTTTAGAGTCTTGTCTGCCCTTTGTTACATCCTTTTCCTACAAAGGAGGTTTGGTGCCAACACATCCTGCGGAGATTTCAGTTTGGAGGTTTTTCAGTACAAAAAAACTTGCTGCTTGTAGAAAAAAGGATGCCTTTGTGTTGCTTATCTCTTTGTTGATGTGTACTTTGCAAAGCTAATGATAAAACTTGCTATCACTTGCTAGTCTCTTGCCAATTTGTTGCTTGTATTTGGGAATGGTTTTTCTCTTTGCTCAGACGCAAGTGGAGTCTTCCTTCCAATATGCCAAGCTTATTTGCCTCGACAACATTTTCTTGGCCAAAAAAAGGGGGTAGACTYTGTTGTAATCTAGGTCACTACAATGCTAAAACTCTAAACTCTTGTACTTCAATGAGCAATTGATGAGTTAATAAATGTTTTATTTACTGATAAAAAAGAGTAGAATCGTGTGGATATGTACAAGGGCAGCAATCATTTGGATAGTTTGGGAAGAAAGGAATGCAAGAATCTTCAAGGAAAAGGAGAGAAGTTTGGAAGAAATGGTTGAATGCATCACCATTAAGGTGGCATATTAGGTGAAAAGTTTAGATAATTTCTCTTCATTTACAATAGACAATATATCCAAAAATTGGACAGAAGAAGCAAGGACTTCAACAAGAAAGTCATCCATAAGCAGAGAGTCAATTCCACCTTAAGAGGATTTTCTAAAGCTTAATTTTGATGGTAGCAGTATTGCAAATCCAGGCCCTTCAGGAACAGGAGGTAGCTTCAAAAATAAAGAAGGCCATACAGTCGCACCATTCTCAAGTCCAATTGGTATAGGGTCACAGGTCAACAGTTCACCCGTAGTTATGTTATAGCCTTTAAATCAGGATCTTGAATATACACCCTTAGATCATATACTCCCTTAGATCTAGGTTTACTGGGGTAGATGGAAAAATAAGAGGAAAAGAAAGAGATGGGAGAAAGATTAAGATTGGATATTTGTAGGTGTCAAAGATTGAGAAAGTCAGAGAGTGAGGAGAAAGGTCGAGTAGCCACAGCCGGTAGGCTGACAGTGGCTCTCCCACAGCTGCAATAGAAGTGGAGGAAGGAGCACAGGAGCAATGTAGATCCATCTTCTCAGAGAGAGAGAGAGACAACAATGGAGAGACCCACTTTTTTATCTGGTTGATGGTTTGAACGGTTCAACCAAGTGAATCAACAATGGTTTAAAAACATTGCTTAAGGGTGGAGATTATGGTTAAAGGGCAAAGAGGAATATCACCAACTTAATTATTGGAGGTGATCCAAGGCTAGTAATTGGATGGTTGCAAGATGTTGAGGCTGCCCTTTGGTTGTATCAGATTGAACTTAAAAAGTTTAAACGGCTGACTAGAGGAATGGATGTGAGATTTTAGTGGGTAAAAAGGGAAGCAAATAGCATGGCCGATGCTCTAGCTAAGCAAGGAGTGGGAAGAGATCAATTATTTTGGGCACAGCTGAAAGCAAGTAAAAAGAAAGAGAGGTAAGAATCTCTCCAGAGCATGAATGTATATTTGTACATTATTATTACAATTAATAAAATTTCTGGTTATTGATAAAAAAAAAAATTGTATCCTGAGAAAGACTATATTATTTGTACAATAGAGTGAAAAATTATCAACAAGTGAACCAACATACCTTAACTTCAAGAAAAACGTAAAGAGGTAAGAATCCTTATCTCTCCAAAGGGCAAATGTATGCTTGTAGATTATTATTACACTTAAAATTTCTGGTTATTGATAAAAAAAAAAACTGTACCCTGAGAAAGATTATTTGTACAATAGAGTGAAAAGTTATCAACAAGTGAACCAACATACCACAACTTTAATCTTAGCCAAATTGCTCTCCTTTGCACTACTCTCTTTTTCAGTAGTTGGCAATCTAATTGAGGCATCTGTTTGGTTTTTTGGTTGCCTGCTAGTAATTCCATCAAAGTCATCATCAAACCCCCTCGTAACAGATGGTATGAAAGGTGATGGCTCAAAGGGTTCTGACATAACATGCTGCCAACAGGATAAAACAATATTGTCAACAAAAGCAAAGGAAGAAATGCAAATATGCACTCCAAAGTTATATACCAACAGGAGATAACCAATCGCATGCATTTTCATCACAAAAAGATAAAAGCCTTACTGACCAAATTTAAAATGAATGTCCAGAAAGGTTTTAATATAAAATGCAATTGCCATCAATATGACATATAAAGTAGTAAGCATTTTAGGGGATAAAAAAAATAAGGAAAACTTGCAGTGTTCTTTCTTATCCTCTTAGAGGTTATCAGTCTCATGACCAATCCAATAGTGGATTCACTGCATTTATCCATTGTACTAACAATAAAGTCACATTTATGCAACTTCTTCTCTCTCATAGAAGTAATCCTATAAAGAAAAGTGGACAAAACTAAGAAAATATAGAATCATATAAACAGACTTGCAACTTAGTGCAAAGACATGTTTAAAAGGTAAGTACTTAATATTGCAACCTTGGCTAACTTGTATATAGGGGTGCAAGTCGGGTACCTAATCTGAAGAATGTACACTGCACCGGGCCCGGGCTCCCAGGCCAGGACCATTGAAATTTTGATAAAATCCCAACCTGAGCCCACCCAAATTGCGCCTCTACTTGTGTACCTCATTTTTGACAAATTGGAGAAAAGATGATCCTTGGAGACTAATAATAAATGACAAGCACAGAACTAATTCAACCTTCAGTAACCAGAGCTTTCACATAAGTGCACATTCTATGTGTAAACTGCCAATTGTACCTTTCTTAATGGAACCACAGTAGGATCTCTCCTAAAAAGTAAGAAGCATAATGGCAGTGGTAGACCTTTTGGAGGGCGGGGGGTGGTAAGGCAGCCAGTCTGCAACTAGGAAGCTATGGCCTGCCAAGGCAATTCTATTCCTAGGAAACAACAAAGTTTAACCTATGAAACCGAGACAAATAAATGCATATACATATTTAATAATGTATAAATAATATGTATTTGTCATCATCGTCATCATCAAAGACTCATCCCAATTATATGGGGCAGTGATTTAAAAGGCGTGCCTGAGGCATGCCTAGGCGCACAACTGAGGTGCATTTTAGGGTAGGCACCTCGCCCAGATCCTAGGCGCAGCACTTTCAAAAGGTGCATGCCTGGTGTGCCTAGGTGCACCTGATGCACCTTGTGCCTTGGCCCAGGCGTGCGCCTTTTGAAAATTGTATGCTTTTTTGCCTTTTTTGAACCTAACGGCTGGGCCAAGGTGCTATTTGCGAGAACCCCCTATTTGCTAATGTTGTTCATTCAATCATCTTAATAGAATATCTTCTTAAAAGGCAATTAAAATTATAAAATCATTATTTTTTGTGTGAGAATTAAGAATTTAAGACCCTAACATGGACTTATTTGGGCTTGCCTCGAGGGGTGTGGCACAAAGGTAACTCGTGGAATCAAGAATGTAATATGTTTTACATCACATTAGCTACTTGAAGTAATGCAATTGAGGAAAAAAAGAGATTGTGGGCTTTACATGCTTGAAAATGTTTTATATGTTTGATTTTATTTTTAAATTTTCATTTGAATATGCTTTACATGTTATGTGTATGTATTTTAATTTTAGATAATAGGTTTTTTAAACCATTAATTTTAAAATTTAAGTTTATATTTCTTATTAATATTATGTTTAATATTTTATATTTTGCATTTTTTGGCATTTTTTTGAATTTTCTGACATTTTTTTTATTTTTTAGCAATTTTTGCACCTTGTTTCAAAAAGACGTGTGCCTTGCCTTGCACCTTGAGCGCAAATTGGCCCCTGCGCCTTCGCTTTTAAAACACTGATATGGGGTTAGCTACATGAATCCTGTTTCACCATTCCATTCTGTTTTACATTTGTACATAAGCAATATTTTTTTTATCATCATTTGTACATAAGCAATATTATTAAACTCAATGTGGTTCACAATTCAAATAATAAGATTCATTAAAAAAAATCATAATTGAATCAAATTGGACTCCTACATATTCAGATCTCTCCCCTTAATTCCATTTTGGCTAGAACCATGATTGCACCTCAATGATCTCTTCCCTATATGGTTGGGACAAGGCTTAGATGATACTGATGATCAAAGAATTCATCATAGGATTCATGAGAATTTGGCAAAAGTTTCTATGCCAGCTTCCAACCTGACACAACCATCCTCCTTATCCAGGCTTGGGACAAGGTGGTGTAAGATAATCTCAGGTAACAGTATCAGCAAGATGAAGCCAAAAAAGAAAAAAAAAATGTAATTCTCCTCTCCAACAATTCAGCAATTACCCAACTCCTCTAATTACAACCCACAAACCAACAAAAACAAATGATCCTCGATAACAAAGACTCCTACAGTCCTACCCATCTACATCATAAAAAAAGACTCCTATCCACCTACAATATCCACTATGAAAACCACAACCCTCACAAAAATTACTAAATCATCCCAAAATACCAAATTTGCCCTTAACTATTTGCCAATATAAAATTAGCCCTCGACCTGCAATCATTTTGTACATATCACTCAAACCTCTCCATAACACCTCCAAAAATACCTCCTAATAACTTCAATAACTTCTGCTTGTTCTCCTTTCCACCTACAGAAGAAAGAACTCGCCTATATACTAGTTGGGTTCTATTTCAGGCCCTGTAGAATCTGGATTAAAACTTTTCTTTCTCACCTCTTCTAATTCCATAAACACTTCTGGCATGATCTCTTCACTGCCCAAGATAAACAACCCTAATTTCTTTCCAACTTATATTTCTTTATCAATCACTTTATCAAGGTCTTCTTGTTAATAGGGGTGTAAACGGATCGAATTCGAATCGAATCAGGCAATATCCCAATTCGAATCCGATTAGAAAATCCAATATTCAAATTCGACTAATTAATTATTTTAGGTAATTAATAAATATATAAATTATTTATATAATTTAATTATTATATATATAAATTATATAAAACACTTAAATATTTTATATATTATATATAAGAATTAAATAATCGGTTGAATTCAAATATTTATCGAATCGAATCAAGTCATATCCGAATTCGAATCCGATTAACTATTCGATATAATAGGATATCTGAATTCGATTAACTAGATATTCAAGTATCCGAATTCGTTTCGATTATGTTGAATCTCGACTTCGAAATCGGATTTTCAAATACCATTGACACCCCTACTTGTTACTTCCAACACTTGGTTAAAATGTCAAATACTACTAAATCATCTTTAGCCTCCTCCACTGGCACCTCCATTACTTTATCCTACATCTCTTTTATGCATTCTTTACCCAACACGTCTATCAGACCATCAGCCAACCATGTTCTATATTTTGATCCTTAAGTGCATCCCCCAACAGGCATCTTCAAAGAATTCTCCTCCAAAGCTTTTGCAATGCCTTGTTTATTACCACAAGTCTCTCCATCATTGACAAATTTATAAAGACTAAATTATCCCATCAAATTTGATGGTCAAATGGATACAAGGAAGAGAAAAAATGTGATCGTTGTATAGGTCCACAACACCTTTAGCCAGTTGATTGTTCTCCTTCACTACCTTTCTTTTGTAAACCCTCTTAAAACTTCTTACAAGGATCAATTCCATAGAGAGTTAGAGACCACCTCTCAAACAAGAAAAAGCTTTTGTAGTATGTATCAAACTATGATTCTTATGCCCCTTAATTCCCCTCCCAACTCCAGAATTCTAATTCATCCCCATTGCTTCCTTTGTAGTTGAAATATGTAGTCTGCAATTGTCAACCTCTGAGCCATCTCCTTGTGCAACAACATCTTTATGCCTCAACTCAAACCCTAGTCTTCCAAGTAAGACCTAATAGCATACCTCTACTCTAGGCTTCCCCCCAGCATTTCTTTTTTTGATGAATAACAGTAAATTTCAATATTTCATTAATAACCACCATACTACACAAAAAAGTGCAGTAGGCCATTGGGAACAAATCATCTCACCCTATAGGGGCCTAATACACCAAAAGAAAAGAAAAAAACATTGAAAGAATCAGCATTCAGCTTTCTCTAATACCCTTTATATCTTTCCCCTATCATTATTGTTTTTAGATCCACTATCTCTAACATATCAATTCTAACTCTCAGATGAATCATGCAACAGAGGACCAGCATTTCCCTTTTCCTGATTAACATCCATACTGCCTTGACTAAAGGAACAGCTCTTCTCCACATCTTTGTTATTGATTTGAGGCTCACTAGATTCCTAAACAAACTCATAGCTGTAATTCATATCACCAAATTGCAATGCATTGCTTATTTAAGTCCTCTGCACTTCACAAGCTGTATCCCCCGTCCCAAAAATCACATCCTCATCTCCCTCATTGAAATCCATATATTTAGCTCTACGCCTCTACCATCAGATTCACCTTTCTCCACAACCCTATAAGAAGCAGTGTTTTGAAAAGTGCTGGAGGTGCACCTCCTGGCAAGGTGCTAAGAAAATGCCTGGAGGAACAGCCAAGAGGTGCGCAGACCCTTGAAGCGAGAAGCGTACAACTTTAGCATAGAGGCATATGAGGCATCAACCTCTATTGTGCTTTATACTAGAGGCTTACACCTCATATACTTTTATACTTAAGCCAATTTTACTTCTCATAAAATTTATATTGACCAACCTAAAACATTGCAACTTCTCATAAAATGATATCAAACACAACCTAAATCACTAAATAACTGCTGACTAAACAACAACTATGGAATACCTGGTTTCTAGGGAAATTTTGATTTATCTTTAGTAAGTTCTTTGGTTCAAAGTAATATGCACAGATATATAAGGATTAAAATCCCTCATTTCTAAGCCTACAAGCACTTGAATCAACCCAGATAGTTCAAATATAAGTGCTCATTTGTTTCCACTAAAATGCTTATAGTTATAACCCACTTAGAAGGTAACCCATGTGATATGCTTCCAGAAAACCCAGGCAGTTGATTAGTCAACGCCTAGGTAATGCTTTTAAATACACTGATGAGCATGTAATAGAGTGGTATTTGTTTTCCTCTATAAAGAGGGTTGATGGATTAGCTTCCCTTCCATATGAAAATGCCTCAGGATTGTATCTCATATTTTTTTCTCTGAGTTCATAAAATTCTATCAGTTACTGATATATATATATATATATATATTTCTTGTATCACTTAAAGGCTAAAGCATATAGACATTTTCATTTTATTTAGCAGTGTGCAAATGCTTGGAAAAGCATGACATTTATACACACTAAGTTAGGTTGGATTTCTTTTCCATTCAATGCAGGACATCCATCTATACCACCTTCTTTCATGCACCTTTTCCCCCTCAAATTTGTAGAAAAAATCCATGATCTTTAACAAAAATGTGCATCTCTCCCCTGACATCAGGAGTTTCCTAAATTTGGCACTCCCATGAACCCATTCCCACATCCACTCCACACTTGGTTACTTAGATATAAACTCATTTTTGCTACATTTTCCACTATGCCATTTTTTTCTAAGAAAGTAAGGAATTGCAAATCCAACTAGTAATTTTTCAAGTATTATGTAACTAGGTTAAAGCTGAAGTGCATATGTAAAAGCTTTACCTAAAAACAAGTTGCTGCATTTTTTTTCATAAGTAATTCTTTCTTTTATAAGTTTTTATATTAAGTAATTCTTTTTTATAAGTTTTTATCATAAGTAATTCTTATAAATGCCAGTTTTGTAGAAAATAAACAGAATGCAATTTCTCCATGAACTGCTGTCATGCATAAATTATCAAGATGAGTCTTTATTCCTTCAAAATCATGAGCATAAAATAAAATGGATACATCAAGTATTGTTTGAAAAATTATATTTTGCTAGATATTATTTGAAAAAAAATTAATACATACTAATTCCTCTTTTTATCAATAAAAACAAACAAAAATGAAGTTATTAATGATGAAGTGTAACAAAGTAAGAAGCCCCTACACTTGTATAAAATTGAAGTATGGGGGACAATATACAGCATATAGCTCAACCAAGCTGCAATATGATGTAGAGAAAAATACAGAGCCCTGTATACGTAAAAATACACTAATTACTTTTCACAAATCAATTGGTTGGAAGTTCCTCTACGGTTCAATCTAAGAACAAAAAGTAAGCATAATTTTCCAATGCAAGAGAAAATAGTTAGACCAGATAAGAAATGTGTCCTTTCATAGAGTAAAATATACCACAAACATTTGGCAACATACCTCAGAAAGAAGTTCTGTGTCATCCATAGCATGAAGATCCAAAAGCCCAGCTCCAAATTCTCCTCTGAGTTCAGGGGAATAGAAACCATCTGTTGCAGTACCTGAACTTTGAGCAGGTGGTGTGTATGGTTCAGAACCAGACTCCCCATTGAAGTTGATGTTCCTCAATAATTTAAAAAGTTTTTGCTTTTCTTCTGCAGATTGTGCTCCATAACCCTTTCCATAACATCAAGACGTGATTGCTTTATTATCTCAAAATCAAAAGCCTTATAGAAAATGCATATTAAATTAAAATGCGCTACAATATAATAAATAAATAAATAAATAAATAAATAAAAGAAGTTCCGAGTAATAAGGAACAAACAGCAAACATATATACTTGATCATCCTGATGATGATAATCAAACCAACCACTCATAGTAAGAGTAGAAGTAAACCTAAGTTTTAATCCTGTGTGAATCCAATCTCAGCATTCTGTTACCATAGGGAACAGAAATGAGGATGCTTTTCCCAATCACAAATTATTCTAAAATAAAATGAAAACATGACATGCAATGAAGGGGAAACGTTTTTGTACCTGCATGAGGAGGTTTGGGAGGAGGCGTTGATCGATGCCAGTTGAAGCCAAAGGAGAGGCCAGATGCTGCAACCCTGCGGACTGGAGCCACCGTGCCATGACTGCATCGCCGGCATCGCTGGCGGGGCCTGCGTTGTGCAGGGATGTACCGCTTGGGTGATCATACAGAGCAGCCGCAGCAGCAGCGGCATTGCTCTGTTGCATCTGGCCACCCATGTGGCGTTGTGCGCGACGTTGCGGAGCCAATTTTCACTTTTAATGAAAGACCACTTCAAAGGAAAAAAAAAAATTATGGTTAACAAATAGAAGATAAGTTTCACTGACCAAGAAACAAGTAAATGGCAATGGAAAACCCTAAATCTACGCGTCTCAGCGATCTATACTCACAATGAGGCGAAAATTCGAAGATCACGCAAAACATTAACGTTTTTCTCCTCAAAATTTCAAAAATCGAGATCTAGAGCCTCTGAATCTGCAATCGAAAAGAATTTGATAGATGTGACCCTAATCCAAACAATTAGGAAATAAATCTAGCCCTAGTAGTCATACAAAAGAGATGAAACTGTGAATCTATTCCAAATCAGAACATTGAAATAACTCCTGGAGAAAGAAACAGAAAATAAAACCTACAATTACCAGGATAAAGTCCGGAACAAAATGTATATTGGTGGCCGATCACGGTGGAGATTTGCTGTCCAAACGCTTGAAAACGTAAATTAGATCCAGGCTCTAGCAAAACTAAGAGAAACAAAGGCCCAATTACGCTGCAATGGCTATCGCGAGCGCTCTGAACCTTCTCTCTCTGTCTGCAATAGCAATAGCTATCACGAGTTTCATATAATACGATGCTTTTATGAGGAACAAGAAATATTTCATCTGCAGCAAAGAAAAAATAAATAGATATATTTCATCTTCAGACTTCAATACACCAAACGGCTAGGATAATTAATTGATTGACTAACATGACCCCGTATTTTTGCAAATTTACACCAAACAGAGAATTAATTGCCAGCGGGAATCAAGATTCAACTTCAAGAGCTTCTTTCGGTTGGGTTGGATTCAGGCAAAGTTTCATAATTCCGAAAACACCCTTTATGCTGAATCCACCGCAAAAAACCATGTAAGGGAGTGTTTGGTAAAGAGGAAAATTTGTTGTTTTCAGACCTTTCATTTTTCACTCCCACCATACAATGTTTTTAAAACCGACTCGAAAGCCAAACTGCTTTTGCCTCTGGATTGTGGGTCACTGGTTTGGCCATCCGGGACAAACGGGACAGGCGGTGTAAAAAAGTTGTAATTTATATCCTTTTAATCCAATCTTTTATTTTTTATTTGCAAAAGATGTTAAATGAACATGTAATAGTTCGAATGATTCAGCAACGGGATGAAAACACTGCCACCATACATCAAAATATGGGAGAAAATCAGAAAATGCAAATTTTTATATAATAATATTCACCATCACCATTAATAACCCCCAAAGCCGATGATTTATTGGGACCAGATCCACATCTTTCTAGAATAAACCAACTAACATACCAACGAACGAGACAATGAAAAAATGCATTTGGTAGGAGGAAACCTTCTCCCGGGTTCTTTATCACGGTGATATATTAGAGTTAGAATATTTTCTTTCCCATGTTTGTCCCTGAGGCCATTTTCATCAAATTAAATGTAGCCCCATAGACATTTACTGAATATAATAATTAGTGATGCTGGTCTTGGGCGGCATTTTCGAATTCTAAAATCTCACCAACAGGGACGGAAAACCAAACTAACCGACCACAACTGGTCTGGCACGGAGACGGGTCTTCTTCGAATCTAAGTCAGAGTCCAATTACTATATTGCCCCTAAGAGTTCTAATGCCTCCTGAAATAACGCCTGCATGTGAATCTGTCTCGGTGTCCATGCAATTATAATGACACAAACAACCATGATTTTCATCCAATTTTCGATCAAATGAGTTTTTCTCTTTTCTTTTTTTTTTGCTGAACAGTTTCTATCGATCCAAAAATAGACTGCAAACCTTTACAATCATTCCAAATAATGTAGAACTAAATCTACAAATCTATTTACAGTTTTCACTACATGCTTTTGCCTGCAACTTAAGCATTGCTCTCCGTCTCATAGGGAATTATAGGGTTCATATAAAGAATATTTTTTAGGTAAATTTTTGGGCTTTTTTATCTAAATAAGTAAAGATGGCAAATTGACCTGTCTCCATGGGGCCTTGCCCTGATCGGGGCAGGTTTTTTGACCACTGGTCAAGGTTTAGGGCAGGTTCAGAGAAAACCCGAAACTCTGGGGAGGGGGACGGGGTGGTGACAGTTCTTGTCCATCCTACCCTGACCCCGACATTGACCTCACCCTGACTATATTATATAATATAATACATATAAAATTGATATATATATATATATATTATTCTATTATACTATATTATATTATATAATATAAAATAATTTTACATAGGTTTTAAAAATATAAAAAATAAATTTATAAGTAAGAATGATCGAGATGGGGCAAAATCGGAGATCTTTGTTCCCTGCGGGAATGGGGATGGGTTAAGATCTTTAGCCCCATCAGGATTCGGGGTGGGAATAAGACAGGAAATTTCAATTTGGAATCGGATACTGAACAGGCAAAACCTGACCCCACCTAGCTCCATTGCCATTCCTATAAATAAGTATTACCTTCTCCTAGGTGTATAAATCACTTTCTACCGAGGGAAAAAGTTAATCAAATTATTGTGTGATTAAAATGCCCTTATCAACATTACAAAAGATAAAATTCTTTCAAAAAATTGTCTCATACAATAAAAAATGATAAAAATGATCCCAACAAAAGAAAAGGGTCTTAATGAGAACGGAATTCATTGGTGGATAATGGTAACAATGAATGATGCCAGTAGATTGTTACCGGGAGTCATTGGAGTGGATCTCAAGGTCGACCCACCAAAACCCTTTTTGATTTGGCCTAACCATTTTGTCTTGCTGTACACTTCTAATTCAATAAAGCATTGCTTTAACTAAAAGCAAGTAAATTGAGATCCAACAAATCCGTGTGGGTTTGAATAATGCGCCATTAATTCTTTTCACTAGTTCTGCATCCACCTCCATTTGATAATCTGATAATCGAAAGCGAAAAGGCAACCAACATTCTAATATTATATCTACATCCTAATACTTTTGATCTGTTGTCCTATCAAGCAAAATGGCAAAAAAGGGGTAGGGATATGCCACCAATAAAACATTCTCAACACTGTCCCACCACATCATTGCAGTCGCACATTGGAAACATCTTTCTTATCATTTATCAAGAGATCTCTCGATGTATGGCTACAATGATTGGTTGGAATGTTGTTGATATCATGTCTTGGTAGCTGATTTAAACTGTTTCTTGTAATTAAATAAGTACTGAGTCCGGATCCCATACCCACTACTCACACCTACCCACATGAGATCGTAGCCACACATGGTGAACATTTCATTCTCTTGTTATTATGCATGAGGAGATGTTCCCAATGCACAAAGGTGGTGTTTAGTGGGTAGAGTTCTGATGGGTAGGAGATCCAGAATCATAAGTGCTTTATCTTGTCACTTAATGCATAATTTTTAATGTATTAACCGTGGTCAAATTAAAGTTTAATATAGAAAATAAGGGGTAGTTTTATAATTTAAATTTTGAAACATATAGTTATGTTTTTTTTTTAATATTATATAGTTCACAGTATAGAGAAATCATGGGGTGAGATTAGGTGTGTAAACGGATTGAATCCGAATCTAATCATGCAATATCTAATTTCAAATCCTATTAAAAAACAGATATTCGAATTTGTTTGGATATTCAACAGATATTGAAAATTAATATCCAAATTTAAATTTGATTAAATATTTGAATATTTGATTCAATTCGAATTTGACCGATTAATTATTTTAAGTAATTAATAAAATGTATAAAATAAATATTTTATTTATGTAAAGCATATAAACATATAAATTATTTATATAATTTAATTATTATATATAAATATTTATTTAAATATTTTATATATTATATGTAAGATTTAAATAATCAATTGAATTTAGATATTTATCGAATGAATCAGGCTATATCTAAATTCGAATCCAATTAACAATTTGATATTAATAAAATATCTGAATTTGACCAATTATATATTCGAATTATCCGAATTCAATTTAATTATATAAAATCTCAAATTAAAAATTGGATTTTCTTAACACACCTAGTATAGAATAGGATAACAGGATGCTCACTAACCATATCGCGAAAAGCCTTCAATTCCACATGTTTGATCCGGATCTTCTTATTTTGGAGGGATGCCATCTGACCATCTCAACTGCTCGTTACTAACAAATAGTTGCAATTTATTCTTGAGTCTTACTACTGCACGTGCAGGTTCCTAACTAGTCATGTTCGAATTAAAGCCTCGTATATTCTATATGGTCCAGTTATGCAACAAAAATTGACCACTGAATCCTGATAGCAACTTTTGAACAACCAATTAGTAGTGGGCTGGGCTCGCCAACTGACAGGATTTGCAGCAAAGAAAAAAAGTGAGAATGGCTACCCATAGAATTCAATGCAATATTTTTATTTTAAAGGTGAATTTTGTAGGACAAAGGGTCTACAGAATGAGAGGAGCTAGATCCGATAAATTTTGATCATCACAATCCAATAAATATGGATCCCACAAATCCACAATTATTAAATCAGATTGGATCCGAATTCACAATCAAGAATTTACATCTGTGCCCCGCAGTTGTCTCACAGCACATTCCAATTGTGTATTGAGAGATGTAAATTCCACGATCAAGATAAAATCAGATCTACTGCATGAGCGAACATGCCAATGTTCCATACACATGGGTCCCCATTACATGTAGCTCTCATGTGTACGAAAACAATGACACTTGTGATTGATTATTCAGCCATGTTCACACATTTGTACTTGCAAGCTCCAGCAAATTCCTTGCCAGTCAAGAAAGGGTACAAACATGTGCTCCCATTTGTGGGTTGGGATGTGCTCCCCACAGAGCACACCTCACAGGTAGGGGTGTCAATTGAATTGGATTTGCTCCAATTCAATCCAGTCTAATGTGAGTTTATTACAAATGGTCTAGGTTCAATCCAATCCAATGAATATTTTGGATCATGTTGGACTGGTCCAATTTAATGTCTAGACCATTCAATCTGTTCAACTTCATTTTAACTTAGATTGGTTTTAATCTAAATCTGATCCATTGACACCTATATTCTTATCTTATATCAATGGACCAGATATTGACTTAATCCAATCCAATCCAATATAAATTCATTAGGCTCCGTTTGTTTGCGATACAAACACCGAACTAGGGTATTTATGTACTCCAGTTCGCATTTGCAAGCGTTTGTTTGAAACGTAAAAAAGTAATGATTATCAGGGCAAAAATGTATTTTCTGACACTTTTGTACTTTAAGAAGAGAGCATTACTGTATCTATTTTTTGGATACAATTTTGTGTTCATTTGATAATTAACTTATTGACCAAAGTTAAGGCATTGGAGCATAAGATAGTTGGAGCATTTAATGATGAGCTCATACCTTGCATTGATTTCAAACAAACAAGATAAATACAAAAACAGTTTAAAATATGAACCATATTTGCATTCATGAATTGAAAATGGATAAATATGTAGTGTACATACTTATGTTTGTATTGCAACCAAACGCAGCTTTAGGGACAGACCAAGTCCAATCCAATCTAATAAATTAGACTGGATTGGTCCAATCCAATATGGCTTGTTGTTTCCTCCAATCCGTTCAAATTGATTTTTTGTCCATTGACACCCTTACCCACTGGCATCCCCACATGCACTTCCAATCGTGCATT